ATATATATATATAATATATATATTATATATATATATAATAAATTCTCTTAAATATATTGAAAAAAGGCGGTGGAAGGCCGTTCCATTGCGTTCTATGACAAAAAAAAAGCCCTGGAAATAACCGTCTCTCGATACTTCACTAAGATTCTCAATATTAGCAATTACTATAAAAACAAATCGCATGTAAAATCGCCGTAGAAGATGTTCTTCAGGTTAAGTTTTAACCTCTCGGGCCTCTGGCCGTGATGCTTCTCATTATTAATCTTCAAAGCATTGTTTCGTTTAAATTTTTAAAAAAAATTTTTTAAGAAAGTTGGACGGTTTACTTTCGAAAATATAATAATTTTCTCGGAATAAATTTTCCAAATGTCTTTAAACCTACAAAAGTTTTGCTACAAAATTATACAAAATGATAGTTGCTAATAACTTTCTTATATAAAAATCTGTATTTTAAAAAATTCTACAACATACTTTATTTTTCTAATATTGTTAATTAATTTTTGGATAATTTTTTCTTATACAATATTAAGACGTTGTAACTAAACACGTACAAAACCACTACTTTTGTTGATTATGATTGATAGTCAATTGAGTGTTGTCTATATTATTAGTTATTTTAAGCAGAAGAATAATTTTTATGAAAAATGTATACGCTGACAAATAAGAAGTATAGCTGATCCCAAGCAGATCGCTAATCGATAATTGGGAATCGCTATTTCTCAACGCCATACGTATAACAAGTGCAAAAATAATCAAAAGTATAAAACGGATGCGATAAAATAAAGCAAAATGTTAAAGACGATTGTCATTTCTATGCGCCTTGCATTAGAAATGATAATCAAACTCTAACCGAGATGAGGAGGTTTTGACAAAATTGTCGAAACCTCCACATTTCGGTTAGAGTTTTGACTAAGCGATTTTTGGGCATGCAACTTTTTTCAAAATTAGAACAATGTAGGTTGAAACAATGTTGCAAGATTTGAAGGATCGTCTTCGGTATGAAAATTTAGGCACCAATGACGAATTGAAGAACTTATACATTTTTAGTGCTAAATATGAAGTATCAAAATTTGGGTCCTATACATGGTTAATAGGATAATTTCAAGAGTCAAGGCAGTGGCGTAGCATAGTGGGGGCGGCAAAATTTCACAATAAATAATAATAATATCTTGTAAGAATTTGAACCATTTTATTCTATACTTTCGTCGCACCTACGATAGTGTTACCATCCGGACAGTCCGGGAATCGACTCACCGTCCGGGTGAACTATTAATTTCACCCGGGAATATCCTGTGCAACTTGTCGACCTTTTTTTTCTTTTTTTTTGTTTTTGTGTTTTTGCTTGTACGATTCATTCGTATAAAAATACGCCTCCAATATCCAACGGAGCTATTTTAAACAGGTGGCTACACTAGCTCGGAATTTTTCATTACTTATTCCGTGACGAAACTGAATTTTAGTCTTTTAAATTGAGATGCCTAAATAATGAGATGGCGAAATTTTACTCCGCCCCGTGCGGCTGACACCCACGCTATTCCGCTGAGTCAAGGAGTTGATAGTAAAACGTTTAATGTCACTAGAGAACATTTATTGTTAATGAATTCAGTAGATTTTTTTAACAAGCAATTACAGTATTTAATGTGACATCGTCACAATGGCTCTCAATTTTAGTAGTGTCTTGCTCCTGTAAATCATACTTTTCCTGTTAACAATAAAGTCATCTGACTCCGCTCATAAGAAAACTTTTCATCTTTGGTGGACGTCCGGTTTATTTCATTACATTTTATACAGTTTATGCATTTGATTACCGTATATTTATTTCAAAATTTCTTGTGTTTCCTTTCTACTTATTATTCATAAAATGATGAAGGTTTTTAGACGGGTCGAATGTTGTCGGACGTCCGAAGAGGAAAGGGGTTACAGAAACTTGGACAAACTGGAACGAAAGAGGGGAAAGGGAGTAAAAATTTCAAGAAAAATACGGATTTAATTTATGGACATCTAACGAGAGAGGCTTAAGTTTAAACTTTGAGTTTTCTAGACCGAGTAGTATTTTCTCTATGAAAGTCTTCAGTGCAGGATGAAGAAAAAGAAGAAAATAGTTTTTTTTTAACAATTTTTGCACTTTCGCACGATTGCTTATATTTCGGCAATCCCTTTGTAGAAAAACCAGAAATTTTGCACACTATCTAAGAAAACAATTATCTTTCGAACGAGATATTCATAATTACGATAGGCATTTCGGGGCAGAGAAATCGACCCCCCGAATACAAAAATACTTTTAAAAGTTGTTTTTTCAGATTTACATTTTTTGGCATTTTTCATCTTTAAGAACACTGATTTGTTATAAGAATTCTCATAAGTTTGCTCTAGGTAACATAGAAAATAAAAGGAAGAAAGAGCAATAAAGAATTTATCTTTCCTTGATTTAGAATTGTAACAAGATAATAAATTAATAAAAACTGTGTTTACCTTTTAAATTTCTTACTGTGTGTAATGAAGTAATAATGAAGTAAATGAAATAATAATTTGAATCAAATTATTAAAATATTAAATGAATTCATGATTTTTTGTTTCCTTCTTTGGGAAATGATCCTGGTTCCAATCAGACATCAACTTTTATCAATACAAATAATCCTAAATATAATTAAATGATATTAATATTTGGAATTTATATTGTATGGTATTTTATTGGATAAGAATATGCTTATATATTATTTAAATTATGAAGTTTTATTAAAATTTAAAATGAAGATGACACTAGAAATATGCCAAGAATTTTATATAACAACAACAGTAAGAGAGATTAAAAAAGGTTACAAACTCATCAAAAGATTTTACTCTAGAAGCCTAATTAATCTAAATTATTAACACATAATTTAATACTTAAGTTAAACTATTCATTTAAGTAAGTTAATTTAGTTTGAAATGATTTAGAAAGAAGTCAAGTTCTAGAGAGTAGGAGAGAGTTAAATGAATTATTGAGTTTCAGTACTGTATTTATTTACATAGTACTTTACCAAATCTTGGATTTCTTTTAGTAAACCTCAATGATCAACAAATATAATTTAAGTATCTTTCAATTGATTATGTAATACTATATCAGTTAAATAATTAAGTCAATTATATGAGAAAACAATGAGCATTATGTTTCAAATGGATTTTAAAATAAATGCAAATAAGAATATAAATTATAATATAAGTTAAAGAATGTATTTCTTTGGCAATTTAAGTTATGTTAACTTAAAAAAGGAAAAGTATTAAATATTGTAAAATAACAAATGAAGTTACAATAAAATATAAATCACATATTATTCATTTAGAATTTAATTTTAAAAAATATTGAAGACTGACATTGCACAATGTAACATTGAAACTATACAAAATCAAAAATATACACATTTTGAGACAATTTACCTTCTTCAAATGTCACACTATAATATACACACACTATTTTTGTATAATTACACTTGAATGACATATCAAAGGAAAAAAATGCTTTTTTACAGTGTAAAAATATAAAATTTATATACAATATAACAGTACAATAATAGCATATGTTATTGATTGCATTTTTAACATTTTCCTACTAGATTTAATGTCATGTAAAATACATTCTTATTCATACAAAGTGATTTTTATCACATACACATATTACAAATATTTAACAAATATTGATTTATCAAGTTTTATACTAAAAAGAAAGAAATCTACAGCAATTAGAAATAACATAATTTAAATATTTAATAATATTTTAGAATACAAATTGAATTTAAATACAATTTCTGCAAGACTCTAATGAAATGTTACATTAAAGCTAATTTTTAGGATATATATTTATATATAAATAGCTATGAGCCATTTACACATTGAACATGAAATAATAATTTTATATTTAAACCAGATGTAATTGTTACTCATGAAGAAAAATTACAAATAATTATGGTACTTTAAAATATAAAAAACTAAAAAAAAAATAACAAAGGTAATAACAATAAATTTATCTGTATTATTTGAATTCAATGTGACTGTTGTGTTGTTTTTGCTGCATTGCATGTGCAATTTGATAATAATTACAGTATATATCTGTTAATTACTTTTATCTGTACGTTTTTCAACAAAAATAAGAAAATAGATAGTTCCATAACTATTGAAAGCTATAAATCTGCACATGATGCAATGTTATTAAACAACTATTTATAGAAAAATATATTATTTATATCAGGTAACATATGAGCCTTTATCAAAATGTCTAATCAAGTTTTCGCAGCATTTACTAATAAAATAAATCTCATAATCTAGAATATATATCTCAGAAAAATCATATTTAAAAATTTTAAACAAAATTTCATTAAAAGTTTTTAAGTTTTTTTGGAGATTTTGAGGATATTCGTTTATTTTTCAAGATTCAGAATAATATCTTCTGACACTATTTTTATAATCACCCTGAGAAACTGAAATAACAATGCTTTGGATTAAATGATTGAAGACAATCTTTCTACATAAATGTATAAACTCTCCAGAAAAGGGAATGCACAATATAATAACATGACATTTAAAAACTGGAATTTTAATTGTTTCAAATTCATTTTGTAAATGGAATGTATTTTATTTAATAGATCACAGATATTGAATTAGTCATATGAATTATTTTGAGCTTCTTTGCACTTTATAATTTATCATACTACATATCACAATATTTCACCAGATAAATCTGTGAGGTTGTAATATGAGTGATCTGGAAACCTATTTAATTCAATGTACTCTTTATCACTGACCAACAGTCTATCTAACAAAGTAACAAGTTCACTGAAAGAAGGCCTATGTTTAGGATTAATGTCCCAGCAATAATACATAACATTATACATTTCACGTTTGCAATGTTCTGGTTTTTCTAGACGATGTCCATGTTTTACAGTGCGCATGACTTCAGCTGCTGCCAATCCAGGGTAAGGTGTAGAGCCTGGTAAATTAAAATTAAGTTCTAAAATTGTATTTTAATTCATTTAAAAGTATAATTACAATATAATTTATTTACCTAGAGTAACAATTTCCCACATAAGAACTCCAAATGACCAGACATCACTTTTGGTACAATAGATGTTATCATAAAGTGATTCTGGAGCCATCCAGCGAATTGGTAAACGTCCCTATAAGAAAATATTTTAATTATGAATTGCAGAATATTGATAAATAAAAATAACATTATAAAATTGTTGTTATGAATCATGTTTTTTAAATTTGTAAAATACATGAATTTATTCCTAATTATTAAATTCAACAAGAGTTAGTGGCCTCTTCTCTATTTCTCATCAATTTCCATTGACACAATTTTCCTTCCCATGCAGTTTTCTTTTTCTCTCATAATACCATTTGTCTGAACCACTTCAGTCTTGTCTCCTGCACTTTTCTGACCAAGTCTGATTCTACCTTATTGCAACACAATCCAACATACCATTTTCACTTCTGTTACTATCATCATCTTATTGATGCCAGTTCTTTTCAAAAAGTAAGTATAATATATCAAATAAAAAAGCACATATATTAAAGAAAAACTTGGTGTTTACTACAATTAAATAAAGAATTACAATAAAATAATAGGATACTCATAAATTTGCCAGTATTGCATGACACTCCATGTGCAAGTACTGCTCACCTGTTCACCTCCATATATTTTTTGGCAACAAAACTGGTACTATTGCATCCCCAATGGGGAGCACCACCTTACAGCCCATACATGACAGTAAGGTTTTATGGTAAACATGAAAGCTGGTCCTAAAACTATTTTGTACCTTTTATCTTTCATTTCAACTATGGTTCTCTCTTGTCACACAAAACTCTTAACATTTCTTTTCAGTTCTTCCAAGCAGCTTGGATTCAACCTGTAATTTCTCTTTTCAATTATTTTTCTTCCTCTATGATTGAGCCAAAGTATTTATAATGCTTAACTATGTTGATAACATATATTCAGGGCAAAATCCATTATAACATATCCTCTCACATCACAGGACATATATTCTGACTTGATTTTATTAGATTTCAAACTTTTCCCTTCTAATGCATTATTCAACTTTGCCAACTTCAACTCAATGTTTTCCTTGACTACACACAGCATAATAACATCTGCATATAAAATGCTCCACAGCCTTTCTTACTTACTGCATCAGCATTTCCATTATTATATTGAAAAGGAATGAGCTCAAAGCTGAATCTTAGTAAAGTCTAACTCTTACTTTAAAGCTTTTAATTTCTCCAAGACAATTCTGACATTTGTCTTTATGTTTTTGTACATTTCATGTATCAATTGATATACTTCTCTAGCATATCTCATATCTCTTTTCTACTCTTCTTATCTTGATAGTCTATCATAAGCTTTTTCAAAGTTAATAAACATCAAGTATAATTCATGTTGCCTTTCACTAAACTTTGAAAGTTTAGACAAATCAACAATTGCATCAATAATTAATTTGCTTGGCATAAAGACAACTTGTTCATTTAATATTGATACTTATTTTAATCTTCTGTCTAGTTGCTTTTTCTCCATTCTAACAAGTTTCTTGCATGCATATGAAATCCACATCTCTCCTTTTCATCAGGTCTGTGTTGCCTCTTCTCATCATGCTTTCCAATTCAGTAAGGCTATTCTCAACCTTTAAGCTAATATTTTCAGTCACTTCATCTCTGTTGAATAGCCTTCTTGAATTTTTTAAGGCTTTAGACTTAATACAGGTACATCTTAACAGTTCTCTGAACTTTGATAATTTCAGATATTAGATTTGTCTAGTGGTTTTACAGCCAGGTGCCCTTTCTGATGCCAACCCATTATAACTGTCAAAAGTTCTAACTTTGAATAAAATTTTCTGAGAATCAATATCCAAAATATTCTTATTATATCTGATTTAAGGTTTAGGGCCTGATTTAAGTTATGAGTGTTGCAGGCTGCTAACATTTTGTGCACCCTTTACAAAAATCATATTTCCAGCCTAAAATAATTTATTTTGTATTTTTGTAATAAGAAATTACATAATTTCAGTGAAATAAATTCTGGTAAACTGTTGCAAAAATAACTTCTCTACTTCAACACAATAGTTTTCTTAACATACAAAAAAAAATTGAACAAAAAATTTTGCATTCCAAGAATTGGTGTACCCTAGACGCTGTAGTTACTGTTCAGTAATCAGGCACTTATTATATCTATTTTGTTTTAAATGTAAATTTATTTAAAACAATCAATTAAACACTATTTAATGCATGATGATATCTGCAGTAGCAAATTCTTCTATATTTTTTTTTACTTTTATTAGCCTAAAAGTACTCAGTAATAATTAAGATATTTTAATAGTATTGGTCTAACCTAAATTTAAACTGTGATTATTTTTGTTAATACATGAATTTTGAACATTTTCTTTAATAAAAGAATATTTATTTATTAGTGCTGATAAATTTATGAACTGAATAATGAATGCAATACATACTGATATACATTGTAAAAACAAAATGATTGCATTTTATAAAGAATTTCAGACTATAAGCTGAAATATTTAAGATACATATAAATTCTTGACTTATTAAACACTAATTTTATAGTGTATTTCAAAAAAAAAAAAAGTACATATAAATATTAAATTATGAGGTAAAATCCAATATGATTTCAATTAAAACCAAAGTTTAACTACATGATTTTAAATATTAAATAATATATACATATATTAACATAAATATTTTATATAATATAT